GTCCATTGATCAAAAAGATCCTTGTCTGTCAATTGAAGGGCGCACGACTTGACAATCTGGCTAGACTCGCTCAGCTGGTTGGTGTGGCTGGCCGACACTCTGCACTCTGTACTCCACCAGACTTTTGGCTTGGTTCACATTCTGGGGGATGGAGACTGCTGACTCTTTCGATGTGCTCCTAGACAGACCGTTACTTGTGCCAAGGTAGTACCTTGGTTGGATTTTGAACTTGAACAAAACTCAGGGACTACCCTCAATCTAGGAGCCTCAGCCTTTTCTCTTCACTTTCAGGCTCAACTATTTTGTGTTCCTCTAGCTCCCACTTCAAACGATTCAAGTGGGACCGGGCTGACTGACATCCATATCTATTCGGTTCATGGTTGTCACCCTCACGCGCGCCTTTCGATTGACCTGAACCGACATCTCTGCTCCGCATCAGCACTTATCCTTGTGCATCATGTCTAATATCGATGAGATGGAGCAATTTGTCAACTGGGACAAGGCCATTGACGCCTTTCCACAACCCCAGGATGGCAACGCCTTTGCTGGTCTGACAGCTGACAACAGCGAGAGCATTGATCTTGTCCTGGAGAATGTCAGTGAAGACGACTTCAGCTTCTGCGCCCTGCAACACTTCTCAGACAACAACTTCCCTCTACCGGACATGCCCGCCCCAACAATGGACTTCACCACAACCGCTGAAGACATATCTAGTCAATTTCAGTGGGACACGCCTTCATCGCCATGCATCAACTGTGCTATGTCTGGCTTCTCATGCAAAAAGATCCGAGAGGGTATCTACAAGGACTATTGCACTACCTGCGTAGCATTGAAAGCCGACTGCAGCTTTGCTGTTGCCCCCGAGTCTATCAACACTTCAGCTGCGCCCTTTGACATCAACCCTTTTCTGTCATCTGGACCTCAGATCTCCAACACCCTCCAGGAGGACAATCAGGACGACTCTTGCCAATCCTCTCGCAATGCCTCTCGCAATGCCTCCGTCAGTGATCTAGGAAATCTGGGAGAAACATTCAACAACAAGGCCGCACCTCCTCCCAAAATTGGAGCACGATTCTCTCGAGAATCTGTTCGTATTCTCAAGAACTGGCTCTCGACTCATAACCGTCACCCTTATCCTAGTGACGAAGAGAAAGAGATGCTGCAACGCCAAACAGGGTTGAATAAAGTTCAAATCACAAACTGGCTTGCAAATGCTCGCCGACGTGGCAAGGTTCAGCCCCCGCGCTCAACATCGCCTCACTACACCAGCTCCTGGTCAGGCCCTATGGATATTCCTCAACGCCGAGGAACACCAGCACTGGAAGCCATGAATCCCCTGCAACGTTGGGAGCACTCACCCCCTGAGAACGAACCTGCGTCCGTCAGCGCTATTGCACGGGCCGTTACCGCCTCTTCCTCCGGAATGTCGTCCGGACTCGACAGCCCTTTCAGCTTGAGCTATGCGGACGATGGCTCAAGCAGATCCATCTGCAACCAGTCCTCAGTCAGCAGTTTAGGCACCTCTCACTCGAGTAATGGTTCTCATGGATCGGCCTATTCACACGGATCTCGCAACTCATGGGGGTCGTTTGGCTCAGCCCCATTCAACAGCCACGGACGTCGTCGCCGTCGCCGAAGGGCTTCGGCAAAAATTAGCAAAGAAAAGACCAGCCTGTCAACCCCTCTCAAGACCTTCCAGTGTACATTCTGTACCGAAACATTCAGGACTAAGCACGACTGGCAACGACACGAAAAGTCGTTGCACTTGTCTCTTGAGCGGTGGGTGTGTTCTCCTCACGGCGCAAAAGCCGTCAACCCTGATACCGGAATCTTATCCTGTGTCTTTTGTGGTGAGGCCAACCCAGACGATGCCCATATCGAAAGCCACAACCACTCCGCCTGCCAAGAGCGTACCCCAGCAGAACGGACGTTCTACCGGAAAGATCATCTCAACCAGCACCTGCGTCTGGTGCATAATATCAAGTTTCAGGATTGGTCTATGAAGTCGTGGAAGGTAGCAACGCCTGAGATTCGGTCCCGATGTGGTTTCTGTGGTATCGTAATGGATACATGGACTATCCGTGTCGATCATTTGGCAGAGCATTTCAAGACGGGTTATTCCATGGCTGACTGGAAGGGTGATTGGGGTTTCGATAACCCTGTACTCGAGATGGTCGAGAACTCCATGCCTCCATGTATGAGACCTCTCCAGTATCCCGTAGACAAGTTGCCAACGTCTAACTTTTGAAATAGATCTTATTCATTATGAGCGCACATCCCCGTTACCATACGTAGCCACTCACTCCCCGCCAGAGTCACCTCGTAATGCCTACGAGTTGATTAAGTTGGAACTGGCTTTCTTCACACGGAACTATCAGGACCAGCACGGACGACTCCCGAACGACGAAGAGATGATGGTCGAAGGTTGCCGTATCATTTTCGCTAGCGAATTGTTATCTCTGCAGGGCATCGCGACGAGGCCATCGTGGCTCCGTGACATTATCATGAGCTCTGACACTCTACAACAAAAGGCTAGATTCGGTCCTTTGCGTGGTGCCGCTGAAAACAGGCTGGCATCGCTCAAAATTAACGGCAAGGACAACTTGTTCGAGGAGTGTCCCATGGAGGTACAGCTCCACGAGTTTGTCAAGGCCAAGAGACTACTTGGTTTAACAGCGATGGATGATGAGCTTCAAGAAGAGGCTTGTCGTATCGTTGGCCGGGTGGAAGAAGTCTCTACACACCCGTCAGAAGCTATTGCTAACTGGCTAATTCGCCTTGCAACATCATTTACGGACTGGCTCGCACCTTTCCGTCGACGTGCACACCTTCCACGAAGCGAAGACGTGGTGAACCACATTTGCCGGTCAACGGATCCTTCATCTATCGACTCGACCATTCACAGCTACTCGCGCCTTGAGCGTGAACTGAAGGACTATCTCATCTTGCAACGATCAATGGGCATGGAGCCTACTGACGAGGACCTCCAGCGACAAGCTCGTATCATTATATACGAATTTGACGACGGTTGGAATCAAACCGCGGCAGATAATGCATCATGGCTTGAGGGATTCAAGAACCGTCATCTCGCAACTAGTAACAACTCGCCCACATTTTCCCTTCAGCCTAGCACAAACTCAACTGTCAGCGGAACTGCCACCACTGATGCGACACTTTTTTCCAATGACTGTCCTGTGCTTCTGGGATTGGGTTGTGATGACATGTTTGATATGGGCAGCGGCCCTAACTGCCCCGGACCATACTTCCTCAATGATGCGAACTGCTATCGACGATTGGCGAAAGAGCTGAAGCGATGGGTTGCTGGCACTATGTCGGCGAACAACCCTAACAGGCATGTGCCTAGTGATGCAGAGCTTCAGCACCAGGCACGCTGGATCCTATATGACGAGTAAGTTTTCTGAGCAGGGAATTTACCGAATGTAATGAGCTGACAATATTGTAGCGACGATCCTTGGAACCAGACTGCTGCAGATAATGCCGAATGGCTTCAAAGGTTCAAGCGAGACGCCGGAATCCTCAAGACAGATGGCCCTGGTCTCCCAATGAGCGATGGCTGGGCCCTCGAATCTGGTGGTTCAGGATTCGCACCCCCCTATGCTTGCCCCAAGGCATCGCTCGAGCCTTTCCCTGCAAATGCGCAGGTGTCAATGGGTCAGGGTGCCAAGTCACTGCCAGCAGCTATTGCGAACAGCTACATCGAGAAGCTCACATCGCAGGCAGCACGACCTGCTGAGGTTTTCTGCTCGCGAGAGTTGGAGCGTGGTCTTATCAGCTATGTTGAGGATCATGTAGCATGCAAGGGATCTATGCCCACAGACGCCATGCTTCAGACACGAGCGCGTCGGATTCTTGACTCGCAGACCACACCAGCCGATGATGTTGATCTGTTGAATAAGTTCAAGGATATGGTGGCCAAGAAGGTTCCTCAAGCAGTGACCGCTCAGGACGCCATTGCGAGCGCTCCTGCGATGCCCAGCAATATGGAACTTAACCTCTCAGACGAGGATGTGAACAACATTCTGCAAGACATGAATTTTGAATTTGATGCTCAAGACTTTGGCGTTACAATGGAAGGGCTACAAGATACAGGTGGTGTTAGCCTGGATATGGCAGGTTTCAAGGATTAGGGACCGCTTTATACCATTCACGAAGTGTATTAACGATGACGATTAGACGCATACAACAAAACGGTGTCAGGTTTTTGAGGATTTCTGGATACACTATGGGTGCGCAGAATTGATTTAAGAGGCGGATATATCAATGGATATCAGTTTGTTTACATAAAATTTGGGAATGGCACAATAATATCACTATTTTAACAATGTTCCCTTAGCACCTTGCCTACTAAGTTTCAGGCTGAGTCAACATAGGTGATAGCAGCGATTATTCGGGCATAAGCGAGACCATGTCTCAGCCCAGACTTTGGCCTAGAACAAAACAACCACTGGATGGAAACAGTGACTCACATGCTCTTCAATTGCATGCGGACAGTGAGAGAGCGCCAACCGTTAAAGATGGGCCGATGACTTCCAAAGACGGCACTGGGCTTGATATCTGACGTTAGACAGTACCTGCCCGTACCTTGGACCAACCTTCATCAAGTAATTGGAACCTAAAGCACCTAGTGCTATTCTGAGTAAAGTACGATGCGGTAAGATCCAGTAGGCAACGATGTCCAGATAAAGTAAGAAGGCACAGCAGGAACGGAAGCGACGCATGTCAATTCCATTCAACTTGTTCATTCCATGTTTTTTTTAACTTCAAACAACCACTTTCACGCGTCAATTTCAGTCACTAGAGACGGAGATGCTGGAGGCTTCACAGACTGCTCTATGAAGCTTGCTCAGAAGACACCTCGTCTTCTTGACAGAGAGACAAGATAAAGTGACGCTTGAGTGAGGCAATCAATCGATTCGGATCGCTTACACTTACAAGACGCAGCTTCACTCTCATCTATTGCTGGGCGACCTCCTACCCAAATGCCGACTTATCTATGCCACGGGTTTCGATGGCATCGCCGCGACATCCGAATTTTTGTCATCCTCAACGACCTTGAAGACGCAGCACCAAACTGGGTTCTTGCGCCTGCATCGTCTTATTGTATCCTCGACCAGCTACACGCGAAATACGACTTCTTGCCTGAGCTCTCTCCACCAACAACGCCCACGCAAAAGAGCGTCAGCGCCAAAAATGCCAATATCAAAAAGCAATTCGATCATGTTGACGACGACCATGCTCTCCCGACATCACGTGTACCTGATGCCGAAGATGCCGTTCTCATGCACTCATGGTCACCGGTCAAATTGCTGGAAGAGTTCGATGTGGACGAAATGGTGACGGCATGCAGGCCATATGCTTATGTGGCTGATTATGTGGTACGAGTCGACCTGAGCGTGGATGTGGCAGGTCAGATGGCCAAGTACTACGACAAAATGGCGGGCGAGGATGGATGGATCGTAAAATTAAGGAATGAGCTGCAGAAGGGTGAACCCGTGCGGTGGTATGTCGTAGTCTGTGGTGACGATGTGAGAGAAGTCCCAGGGAAGAGTGACGAAGAAGAAAAGGAGGTCGGCTATGAGCAGGTAAGAGACGCGGCCCAAACTATGGTGCGCAACCGACGAACAAAGGATGCCTTGGAAGGATTTTCTGATTCCCCATCCGAGTACGATGATGACAACAATCGAGATGAAGATGGAGAGGATGCTCTCACCGTCCTAGATGGTATTTTAGGGGGAACAGATGGCGCTGCAACACCCCGGCCACTTTCGAGGACATTGCCAGATATCGATATCCCGCTCCAGCCTCAACTCGACCCAAATCGGGCTTCAGTTTTGACAATATCAACAGTTTGGTCCCAAGATGGGTCACCCAACGGAACAGCAAGGCAGGAAACACCGGATATCGATGCACCTCTCCAGCCTCATGAACTCGGAAAGAAAAGGAGATCTGTATCTACAGCTTCATCAGTATGGTCTCGAAAGGATTCTCCAGACAATGGACTAGCACTGGGAACACCGGATGTTGAAATGCCGCTTCTCCACCCCGACAATGCACGATATTCAGCTTCGACAGCATCGGGGATATACTCTGCATATGGGCAATCTAAAATCGAACCAAAAGAGTTTGTCAAGGTGCAGTCATCGGTGCAAAATTCCATAAGAGAAGAGATACCGGGTGTAAAGCAACCGCTCAAACCAAACGAGCTTCATCCGTCAAGATCTTCAACGCCTCCAACGCCCAAACCTTTGCAACGGCAGCTGCCAGCTCCAACGATATACAGACCCGAAAGTTTTATACCGCCTTTCTCGCCTGTTCTGCTACCTATGGAGGGGTTTGACCAAGAATCTCCGAGGCAAAATACTCCTAGCAGAACAGAGGATATCAAGCCTCCAGAGACATCTTGGCCATTATCATCAGACTCACCACTTGAATCCTCAGGATCCAGTACATTTCATAATCAAGATAGTTCGTATCCATATGTTGCATCAATCATAAATCCAAAGGACAGGCTAGGGGCCCATCTGAACCTACCCAAAGAGCTTGTTCCTCCTCGAACACCGTCGCCAACATCAGAGTATTCACCACAACCCCAGATTTTTGGATCAAACATGCCCAAGTTTGAGGGGATAGTGTCACACGCTCCACCATTGTTGGTGTCACCGAATCCAGCACGCCTAGAACAACCAAGTTCTGGTGTATTGTATGAAGCTGGTGACACAATTTCCGAGCAGCAGCTACCATCAACACGAACGCCGGCTCATCGAAAGACGACCAATCCTGTCTTGAAAACACCTCCCAGAAATCCAACAACACAGCAAACTACACAAAAACCACCGAGGTCTCGCTTACCGAGAAGTGTCCCCAAGAATATTCGAATATCCAATGTACCACTACCGCCGGAACCAGAAATAAAGACGCCTCGTCGCCCGCCTACGCCGCCAAAGCCTCGAGCTATACAGGGGGGAAACTCGCAAAAAAGACCACAAACTGCGCCAGAAAAGGGGACGATGTCGTCGAAAGCTCATGCCAGAATGTTATCAATGCCGTACCAGTATGAGACACCCAGCTCTCTGCAAGAACTGGAAAGGGAAGAGCTGGTACTAGAGCCTACACCATCTCTTGCTTCTGGCCACAACACGGGTGTTAGTTCAAAACCGAGCGCGCCACGAGATTTAACACGTGGGGTGAGGTTACGTGCACCACAGCCAGTGGCCAACACGACGCAAAGTCCACAGACTAGTGTATCTATGGAGCATAGTGATGGTCAGGTAGATGAAGACGGAAGACATCCTAAACAACGAATTGGTCGGAGCCATTCAGTGGCTGAAGGGCTTAAGAAGCTGTTCAGGAAGCCGTCTCATGCTAAGGCAGGCCATCATCATTAAGGGTAACGGAGATGGATCGTTATGATGTAAGAGTAACGGAACGAAATTCTTTTAAAATTGTACAGTATTTGAGAATGCATAGAGGTTTAATTACATAGTAGGTGACCTACAATTAACAATCGGGTTTAACATGTTCAGTGAAATTTTCAAGATGCGAAATGAGATGAGGGTATGGTCATGTAAGGAGTTGATGCACGTCACGTGTAAGTTAAGCAAGACAGCTTGTGGCTCGAGTAACTCAACTTAATTACCAGCATACTCAGTCAACACCCTCAATTCAATCTTAGCCTGTTCGATCTGTAAACAGCCCGCTTACACCAAATAAGGATGCAACTCATGGTATCAATTGATTGGAGTCCCTGATGGTCTCCAAATAATTTTCCAATCCGAGATCATTGTGCCCACCGAACCTCGACAACATCAAACCTCGAGGCCCGAGTCCGAGTCCAATCTAGCCTCCGGCGATTGTCTCCTTGCCCGTAACCTTCGGTTCTTAGGAATCACCTCATATAAAAATGGCCCTATCGCGATCCGATCCTGGCCCCAATGCGTCAGTCGAAGCGTTTGCGCAAACCGGCGCTGAGCCCTCGCTTGATGATAGCGACGACGAAGATCTCCGGTCGGCTGTTGGCAGTGGAAGCGATGTTTACGAGCTGCATGAAAGGAATACAGGTAGGGGTAGCCACGGCAGCGCGATATGGGATGCCGAAGCTGCAGAGGATGGAGATGTGGACCATCCTCTCGTAGAAGAGCGCTCGCGAAGTCCTGGTTCTATGGCGAGTTTCCAGCTCTATACTCCGGATGAAGAACAAGCGGTGCGGAGGAAGTTCGATCGCAAGCTTGTCTTATTCGTGGCTCTACTTTACATGTTGAGCTTCGTCGACAGATCCAGTACGACCCTTCTATCTTTTTGCGATCGGCAACATGGAACTAACAAATCTAGATATCGGGAATGCTCGTATTGCAGGCATGGATGAAGACCTCCAGTCTGACCCGCCCCGCGATGAATGGTACCAATGGGCCCTTACGGCCTTTTACATCACTTATATTGCCTTTGAATGGATGTCGCTTCTGTGGAAGCTCATTCCGGCACATATATTTGTGTCGATGGTGGTCCTGACGTGGGGTCTCATGGCATCCCTTCAGGCTGTCGCGACGTCTTATCCCATGTTGATTGCGCTGCGCGCTGTTCTTGGAATAGGAGAGGCTGGCTTCACGGGAATTCCGTTTTACTTGAGTTTCTTCTTCAAACGAGAAGAGCTTGCGTTTCGTACTGCTATTTTCATATCTGGTATGTAATTCCCTCTTACGATGGCGAAGAAGAAAACTTATAGCTGTCACAGCGGCACCCTTAGCTACGACGTTTGCTTCAACTCTCGCCTGGCTCATTGTTAAGTTTGCTGAGTTTGGCCCCATTGCTCCCTGGCGTCTTCTCTTTATCATCGAGGGTTTCCCATCCGTCATCGCGTCTGTAGTAGCTTGGAATGTCATTCCTGACTCTCCACAAACAGCCCCTTACTTGACCAAGCGTGAGAAGAAGGTTGCTCATCTACGACTTCGCAGCGAGCAGCCGACAGCCACAAACAATAAGCCTTCATCCGGTCTTAAAGGCCGCGATGTTCTAGCGATATTTCGTGACCCTGTCGCTTGGATCACTGCAACCATGTTTTTCCTCACCAACATGGCTTACTCGTCTCTCCCCGTCTTCCTCCCCAAGATCCTCACTGAGATGGGTCACGATACTCTCACCTCTCAAGCTCTCAGTGCTCCTCCATACTTGGCGGCTTTTGTCATCGTCCTCTTCACAGCGCACATGTCTGATCGTCTGCGCACACGCACCGTACCTCTAATATTCCATGCCCTTGCCTCTTCAAGTGGCTACGCCATTCTCGCGTTGGCCAAACCCCTTAATCTTCCTAATTTCATCCGTTATATGGCCGTATATCCTGCCGCGATAGGCTTTTTCAACGTCGTCACTCTCATCATTACTTGGAGCATTAATAACCAAGCCAGCCAGAGCCGCCAAGGCGGCGGCTTTGCTCTCCTCCAACTCGTCGGGCAGTGCGGACCGCTCGTGGGTACCAGATTGTATCCAGATCGAGATGCTCCCTATTATGCGCCCGGGATGAGTACATGTGCAATTGCTATGCTTCTGGTCTCCATCCTAGCATATGCTCTTCGCTTTTATCTCAAGTATCAAAATCGTAAATTTGACCGAGCTGAGAGTGAGCGTCTGCAGGGAGGCGATGAAGTCGAGGAAGAAGGCCTCGTTGGTCCTGGGAGACGCAAATCAGCGGCTGTTGTCTTTCGATATATGTTATAGGGCAATTTTAATAACCATTGTTTCAAACTCACTGCTCATCAAAATGCGTTATTCACGATATGATCGGTACTGGGGCAAACTCGATTATTAGACCATGTACACTTTCTTCTTGCTAGCTAACACCTCGTGATGCTAAAACAATACCGTTTGTAGTTTCATTTTCTCAGACGAATTGTCATGTAAGTTATTTATAATCTATTTCCCGAAGCGCATCCACTTAGGGGCGTGATACTTCTCTACGCCAGCTTTCCACCAACACTCAGTCCCATGCCCGCTTTTCTCGATCGAGAAAGACGCGGATTCTTTCTCATGTTTGCCCTTGCTGGCATCCCCAGGTCTAAGTTTGCGACGCAGTGTCTTCCAGGCCGAGTGGTGTTTTTTCTGCTCCTTATGTTGACGCTTGATACTCTGACAGGCTTGGCGAACTTTGTTGCAGCTGTTATGACAAATATTGTGTGCCAGTTTCTCAACTCCGGCTCGAGACCGTTTCACGCCCTCTGTCAAGCTTCGAAGAGAGATAACAGAAGCCTTTCTCTTAGTTCTCCTTTCCATTTGTGGTGGTTTGATTGATGGACTAGCACTGTCTGGGTGCCGGTTTTCTGCTGGGCCATCAAATTGGGTTTGGATTCGGGCCTTCACCCGTGTCAGGGGATAAGTCCCTACAGGACCGGCAGTGTCTTTCAATGAAGTCTGTCTCGCCATGGTCTCCTGAGGAGCCGTCGCATTTGATGGTAGGTCTTCGGAAATTGATACAATCTCAAAGTGATAGTAGGACTGGGTGGCTAATCGTTGCAGGTTCCCGAAAGCAGCTGCCTCATCGACTTCTGTCTTGTGGGTGCTTCCTTTAATCATAACTCTCGCAGCAGCAGAAGAGCTTGATGAAGATCTCAGACCAGATAGCCGGTCGTTGGTGCGACTATATTTGTTCAAATCGCCCAAGTCAAACCTTGGTATGCGAGTGTCCGAGGCTGGTGATGGCACACCATTAGATTCAATACCTTGGTCATGGTATGATGAAGATGTGCTCCTTGGAGCTCCATGCGTGGGCTCTGGAGAGGGTGCTTGCGACCTCACAGGCCTCAGATTATCTCTTACCATTTGTACGATAGAGAGCTGGTCTGAAAGAATCTCAGCTGTCGATGGTTTGCGGATTCGGTCATCGGATGCATCGTTCAGCTGTGCTTCTTCACGAAAGTGATCGCGGTGGGCAACTGGTAGTAAAGCTCCATTCTGAAGAAATGCATCTTGTCTGGAGGTCTTTCGACTGATTGGGGTTGTATGTGCCTCAACCTCAGGGAAAGGTCGCTCATTTGACAGGAAATCTCTCTAGGATGCTGCTGGTCTGATGTTTTCCAGATTCTCGAGTTTCTTCCGGTTAATGGGGGCTCTTTTTTGTACGTTGAGTTCGCTCAACTGTGTACCAGAAATGGTGTTACTGTCGTAGGAGTCTGTGGTATACCCTGCTGAGACGCCGAGAGGGCGGGACCGGACGGGAAGTGTAAAGGTGTCATTCATGGTGAGGATGTATATATCACTAATAAAATCAGCTAGTGGGTGATGAATTTCAAATGCTGATGAGTAATTGAAGATGGGAAAAGAAAGCGAAGTGTGAGATAAGAGTTTGTTGATAATAAGCTGAATGAACCCCAATCTAGTGAACATCATTAGGTTGCTCCTACCTCTGTGTGGCAGATGAGAAAGAAGGATAGGGCAAGTACATACTATATAAAGGAGTCGCAACCGTTAACGTTGTTTCGTGCTTGCCTTCTTGGAATGCCTTGATCGAAAGTGGTATAGAAACACCAAAAAGATATTGCTGTCTCATGATGATGAGACTTGAGACGGCAAAAAAACGAATCGGAGGGCACTGGGATTGCTCCCGCCAGGGCTTGAACCTGAGACCTTCGCATTACCGGATACTCGGAATGAAGTATTAGTACGACGCTCTAACCAACTGAGCTACGGAAGCCTTCCAATTCGATGGAAAAGCAGGCGTTATTTTGCAATACATCGTATGTCAATTGCTCAAAGTCCGCCGAGTAGGGACGATATGCATCACAAACATCCAGTGGGGAATACCACAACAGACTATCTTCGATGAGGAGACTGATAACGATGATTACTAGTCCATGAATTAAGAAGTGCTCTAGCTAGAGCTTATTGATTTTGATTATCCCTGTTCAAGCTTCATATGCCCGAAACGACATATCCTTCCTCAAGCTTCGATTTTATACATCAAATCACCAATACTCCGCCTGTCTTATCCAGAATTCTCAACGCAGTTGGTACACTTGGCGCACGTGAAATGCGTTGTTGCAGCCCCGAGCTTGATAGCTCCTTCTGGGGCATTCTGATGGAATAGGTCAGGCCAGCCATGCTGAGTCTCGGGCCAGGCAAATATTTTGATCGGGGCACACCGATCATTGTTGAATCTATTGTTTGCTCTGTTAGTAGTATACGGACATATGAGTAAGTATAACATACCCAGCTAGACGGCAGATCATACCAGGATCAATAAAGACAGATCCGACATGTCCCTTAAGCTCTGGGCCTAGCTCATTGCATGTATATTCAAGTTCGGGACGATAGGCGAAACATGGAGCTCCCCAGTTCTCCTCACGGCAGAAGTAAACCTGAGGTGTGGTTAGTATATGTAATAGGCCTGAAGCCCTTCAAACCTACCATGCCAGGCTCTCGATCCCCCTCACTGTTCTCATCAGGGGTAGTACCAAGGCGAGCCTTGATAACTTCAGGCTCGATGGCTTCGTACTTGAGTGCGGCTCGTTCTTTGAGAGGTGAAGACCACATGTCAACTGAGGCAGCGAGACACTGCGTAGAAAAGAGCGACAAGACTGAGAATGCAAAAGATGACTTCATTTTGATGATTGGGTGAGAGTAAGTGTTGATAAGAATGAAGATGGAAGATGGTAATCTGAATTTATAGTCCTGGATAATCTGAATTGTTTATTGAGCATTCACAGCAGCTGACGTCTGGGATACACCCTTTAATATATCAGAGTTTGTTACGGCAAGCCATTGATGATTTTTCGGTTTCATTCATTGACGACGAAGCTACGTATGACGCGCAAAGCCTCGTGACGGCAATAGCTCATGCGATGTAGCTACAGCTTCAATCCGAGCCCACTCATTCCATTGTACCTATTTTTCCACCTGTTACCGACCGTATTGATTGCTTGTGTTGTGTTGTATTGATTAAAGACTCGGTTGCCTCGTCAGCTCATAAACAAGCCCCCTCAAAGACCTTCGGAAGTCATCGGTCATCCCGTGATACAAATTCGGCCCATCGGGCGTCCAAGAAATGCTGTCAACTTGCAGGTGGCTTGCATCACTAGTAAACAAACAACTGGGCCCAGATGGGAGCTGCGGCTGATCGACTAGACGATTGTATCAACGATATTACCGGCCTCAGGAAGCTTGTGCAACTCTCGTGTCTGCTGCTCAACCGTTTGCCTGGAATTATCAGAATAGCGGTCTCGCCTCAGTCGGACCCCCACGTTGCGCATTGCATCACGGGATATAAGTAACTCGCACCAAGTACCGATTTTGGTTTGCCAAAGATATATTCCATGTCGCTGCGTTTATTCTTATGCAAGCATTTGCCGTATGCCAGTAACATCCACCGCGTGAAAGCCGCTGGATCGCCCAACGTGCATAACTGATCGCCCGTCCCTGACGTAGATGGCAGGGAAAACGAGTCGACGCAGCTTCGTATCAAGTCTTCGATTTCATTTGATCTGTTATGAAACTCAATCTTCCCTGCACTGGATTTCCATTTTTAGAAATAGAAGCATACTTACATTTATGCATATTCATCATCCGACTTGATCGGCCTTGGAGCAGCGGCCCGGAGCCGGCAACGGAGACGGGCGGAAAAGACTCCACAGGGATTGCCTAAACAGGCAATATCTTTCACAGCGGACTCCAGCACCTCATCCCGTATACACGAGTGTTCTTATGTCAGGTTAACACATACGGGCGACAGCGTGATACGGTCTTCTCTCTCACGACGGAGTATTTGGCTTGAAATTGCCCGTTACGCTACACTTCTCACAAAACACATTCTTGGCTTCGGAGGAAATGCAAGAAAGGGCATATTCGGTCAGCCAAGCAGGTTGCTTCGAGTCGAGACCGATCTTGGTACGAAAAGAGACTCTGTTCGGATACACAACATGATTCGACGCAGCCATCCGTTGCAACTCCCGGCAGATAGCCACTCCATCTAGCAACTATCTCTGGCGTTGCCGGTTGCACGACATCAACTTCAACCACTCTGCGTACACCAAGGCCACTGCCGTGGTCCCCAAGTCGGATTTTATTGAGTAGGATAGCACCTTACCATAGCCATGTGCCTCGATCCTCAAGGTTTCTTGGACTGTCTTAAGAAGGCAGACAGATACGAGATAGTGCAACTGTAAAACACGCTTGCACATAGTTCAACAAGGTGATCATGACCTCTGTAACAACACTGCAGTCGACAATTATATGAACACACAGAGAACTATGGTACCTTTGGTAACCCGGATTCTGAGGCGGTGAAGTTGGGTCGCCCATCACGCAACATCTTCCACACCACAAAAAAACGAATGATGATTACAACAACAAGATGGATTCTTGGTACGACATGCCTATACAAGTGCTTCAGAACCAAGACGATCACACATTTTTATAAACAACAATTACTTATGGGGTTGTATGGATGAAGACTAGAGATTACTTAAGTGTTTCGGGAGAATTGGCATATGCTGTTCCTGAACTGGATGTAGGGTAATATTGTTAGCTGTTTTAATGGCAGGATATGATTGTGACAGTTCAAGTTTTTTTTTTTAAAGCGACATTTTTGTTTTTCTTATATTATGATTGTTCTGATAGACGTTGTCCTTGATGGAAGTACTAAATAGACAGCACCGCTGCCATTGATACAATCATCGTTCCCTTTTACGTTATGTTTCCAGGTTATGTTACTGTGGGTTTCAAGGAAATCTAAATATACAAAAAGGGCGAATCCTCCTTTGATATTCTGTCCGATTTCAAAAGATAACAAGCTCAAATCAAAACCTGAAGAAACACTGGGCACTTTTCTGCCAAGTATAAGAGTATGCCTTCCACTCATGCAATATTCTCGAATTGACTGCTCATCTAACGAACAGATAATGACTTTTTTGCAGGTAGAGTATCACGCGACAGTTTTTTTTTTCAAACACTTGAACCGATGAAAAGAAAAGAAAACCACCCCAAAGTTCTAAAGAGCAAAGAGTTGTTCTGCAATCAGAACAATATCATGAACTGACTTCCAGAGCAGCTGGGCATGTAGTCGGACCAACTTTGGGCGATCATTACACAGTGTTCTACGCACAGTAGGCACTAGATTCCAAGCTTTGGTGCGATGGGGTATACCGAGTAGCCAAGGTGCTTTCGCCGGGGCCATAGGTTTCTGTTATCTGTTATGCTAAGACAGTGCACAAATCAGCTAATTCCTACGCGTTATGCTTGGTGGAGATCACGAACGCCATCGGTTATGGCTTGAAAAGCAATGGGTTCTACCACTTTTTGACCAGGAAACTTCCCATTCATTCTCCTAGCTGACGAGGCTTCATCTCTGCAATCTGCTTCGACAAATATACATAATCTTCCGAAACAGAAGGCTAAATGGAAGAACCAACCACAACGTTGACAAATCGCCCTCGTACACGGCAACGAGCGTATAAGAAGCCACCTGCTCTTGATGTTCCCAACATTGATGAAGATGCTGCGGAAAGGAAACGCGTTTTGAATGTTTTGGCACAGAGAAGATATCGTGAGTCATCATTTTTCTTCTTTTGCAACTGAGTAACGTTGAGATCTGACAGGCATGTAGGTGAAAAGAAACGACTAAATCGTCTTAAAACCAAGTCAGCTGGTAGCAATGCGTCTCAAAACTCCGAACCTCAAGACGAAACAGCTCAAAACTCCGAATGCAGAGTATCAAGAGACAATGTCTATGAAGCTCCGAATCTGCAGAGCAATTTGCAATCCACAATTCCAGAATCCATCTTGTCAATCCCTCCCACTACAGATGCTGACATCTTGGCTGGGTTTGGCCTCAGTCTGACATCTTGGAACCCCCTCGGAGACCCCTTCCAAGATTTGACATTTGCGTCTATACTTCCAGACTCAAACACAGTACCCGAATACCTACCCGAAGACAATACCAGGGATGATTCAGTAACAGCTACTCATCATGACTTGCCTGCGGATTTTGGCGGAACCGATATGACCATGTTTATTGATTCGTCATCACTCAGCTCTTCAGCCTCGTCATCGGAAGGGCAGACGTTTCCTGATAGTTATCAAATGCCTCTGCTACAGCTTACACTCCTCAAGGCTGTTATGCGTATCGCAGATCGTCTTAACCTGAAGCCAGATCTTTGGGACTTGGCGGGCAACTCGGCATTTAACACAGGGACCGCAACGCCAGCATCTCTATTACCTCCATCATGGCAGCCGACTCCATCGCAAGTTGCGATACCACACCATCCAGTGTTTGATCTGCTGCCCTGGCCAGGTGTCAGAGAGCGTGCCATCTTCATCCTGTCATTGCCCGATGAGTTACGGCCACCACGAGCCCAGGGTGCACTGGCGACCGTCAACTTTGCCTATGATGTTGAAGATACAGCCGAGGGAGTCAGGATTTATGGTGATGATCCATATGATCCAGGTAACTGGGAGCTGGGGCAGGTGATGTTTGAAAGATGGTGGTTTTTGTTTGACAATAGCATCATCAGCACGAGTAACCGCTGGCGAAGGGCAAGGGGAGCACCGCCGTTGCTATTGAAAAGCGGAAGTGCTGGTTCGAGTCCGACTGCAAGTACATCATCTGCTACAACTGGGGGATCATGATGGGGCCACTGAGGTTGTTTGAGTACCTTAGCAGGTAGGGACATGCAGCCTTGATACAAAACTCTCTATGATACTTGTAAAATATAGAATAGCGATGCAGCATGAATTTTATGACGTTAACATCAATTGAGCAAGAATGAAAGGTAAAATTATAACCACAGGGCCAAAATGTGATATCTATTCGCATAGCCCCAATACTCACTCACCTCAATAAGCCTCACTTCTTATCATCCGAGCCCCGTGATTAGCTCAAAGAATAATTGGCATCTAGGTGAAGGTCTTGATGCTTAAATTGATCTTTGATAAAATAAATTTTGGACCTTTCACCCACCGGTCTGACAGTGACACCACTAGTAGCTCAGCATCATGACGGAGGGGTCATAAAGGTACTCGGGTGATGATTCGTCCATTTACTGGACCCTCGACGCTGGGGGAGAGAGGAGACATAGAGATCATTGGCAGGGCCTCTCAGAAGATGGCTGCAAACTGCAAGCTGCAAGTCGTGAGCTACTTCAGCCAAACAGAACCCATCGAGTCCACAGTTTCTAGGCTCATTGCAGATGTTACCTCACGCTCCATTGTCTTGGGTTTCTCACCGATCAAAAGAGGCGCAGCCGAGTACAAGCCAATTCAACGGCCACTCTAATTAAGGTAAGCAACGATTTATGACTCTGACCCTGACTCTGAGTTCTTGAGCTTAAAAAATTTCATCCGTTTGTCTTAGCTGGAACGTTTGGAAGCTCACCTCATAGCCTGGGGCAGCTTTAGCGGCATCCTCACTGGTTCGATGCCCTGAGCTCCCCTGAGCCTCTCGGCTTCCGATGCCCGGGAACGGCGCTGAGATCAAATGAATGCATCTGCATCCGCCAATCAGCAGACACAAATCATACATCGGAGGTAAAAACGGAACCCCACTGGGGAGTTTCTGGAGGAAGGAGGGGCACTTTAGAGGCCGTCGGCGGGGGGAGAGGAGAAATTTCCTGGACAGTTAGAAGGAAGGAACGACGTGGAACGCTTTTCTAACCGTACTCGGTTTCCTTCTTCTCTCTTTTTTTCCTTCTTTCTTCTAC